ACCACAATTTAAGAGAAGTCTAGGCTTACTGCTAGACCGTCCAAGTGTTTCATATGTTTTGAAAAATTGGAATGTTTAGGTTCATATGATAGGAGGTAGTAAGTCCATTGAACCTGTTCTCAGTAAGGTCAAGGCAATTCAGTGAGACCGAGAGACCACGACTTAAGCGAGGGAGTCCGGCAATTTTTAGGGGTTTGTGTCTTTGGTACCGGAAGTTCATCCCTAACTTTGCCGCCCATTGCCTGTTTCCGTTGACCGATTTGACAAAAAAGTCTTTTCAACCAAATCGTATTGAATGGGGTTGAAAGTCAGAAAAGGCTTTTTAAGACTTCTTAAGGCTAGTTTTGACCGTGTCCGCCCATTTTTTGGAAATTACCAGATTTAGAAACATATATATTTATTCTCAGAGTTGATGCTTTCTGATTGTGGATTAGGATCTGTATTTACTTTCAAAGAAACCAAGCGTGAGGAGAAAATTTCCAGTAGCTTATCCAGTTAGAAAGTTGTTCCAAGAGAACAGAAGTATTCTGTAATAGAGAAGGAGTGCCTTGGTATTGTTTGCGCAATTTCTAAATTTCACAGATACTTGTTGGTAAGGAATTTAGTTCTAGAGGATTCACCAGCGCTTTTTGTATCTTAACAAGGCAAGTAAGTAACTCTAGGAATAATGAGATGGTCCTGTTTTGCAGCCATACAGGATGAGGATTAGAGCAATCCCCAGGTAGACAAAACCATAGAACAGATTATTTAAAAGCAGGTTATACATGTTAGAAGTGTAGTTTTAGTATTTATGGTTGTTTATAAAATATGGTGTAGTATTCTACTTACATTTTTGCAATTTGTCGTTTCACTTTGTTGTATTTAAAGAAAATTTTATCAATTTTCTTATTTAAAGCGGAGGGCGTTAAGTGTCACAAAGTGAAAAGTACTTGTAAAATCGTGCCATTATATTTTCACGGCCGAACCTCATTTTTACTCTATATTCATTGATGTGAGACTTGCATCATCTTTTGTTTAATTTAGACGTTTTGCGGATTGAATTTTTTATTTAGAGTATTTTTATGGTTTGCATAAATTGTCCATTGTCCTCATTTAAACAAGTGCCGTTTATTTTCCAAAATCCTTTCAGTAAATAAGAAAGTACATTTTGTTTTAGTGAACCAGATTATGTATATGTCTGTATTTGAATAACGGGGCCTTGTATTTTACATAACTTTCTTCCCGCCGTCCCAGCTTTATTTCGTGCAAATCGATTTTTCTGTTTTTTGCACAATCGTTTTCCCGCTTCAGTACTCAGTAGTTTGCTATATAATGACTAAATTTTAAGTGATATATTGCAATGCCACTGGACCGTATACAGGTCACTATTATGACGGGTACAGACAAATTTATATTTGTCATAAAATTACAGCTTGTACAAGACTTTTATTTTGAGGACACACCCGAAGATGAACACGGGCCCTCCACAGTATGTCCATGGCTAAAGTGACGCATGCCCTTGTCAGGTCTATCAACTGTGCCACACTGTAGGAAGTACAGTTTACGCTTTGTAAGATTTTATACAAGACGCCCGCCATTGTGACGAATTTTGTTCGCGACAACGCCACCACTTTATTGAAACATCATGACAGAAACTTTACGGGGAGAAATAGACTGAGATCGTTGATAGTTTTGTTTTTCGCCCCAGTGATTTTCTATATAATATTTTTCATTTATAAATTCATCTTCTTGTAAAAAAAAGGAAATTTCTGCTGAATTTTGGTGTGTTTTAGATAGCAATTGTGGTCGGCCTGGTATCCCATCGTAGTCCCTATTGTGACAGTAATAGTGAACTTGACCTTTGAGCTTGTGATCCCAAAATCAATAAGAATTTTCTACCCAATATGGACAATCATCCTGTGAAGTTTGAATATTTTGGGCCAAATGGTTCATAAGTTATGCTTCGGAAATTGTTTTCAGTTTTAAGGTAATAGTGACCTTGACCTTTGATATGGACACTCATCCTATGAAGTTTGAATATTGTGGGCCAAATGAAACTAAAGTTATGCTCCGGAAACTGTTTTCAGTTTTCATGTAAAAGTGACCTTGTGACCCCAAAATCAACAAGAATTTGTAACAGAGTTACCAACGTCCCCCGGGATGCAGGTGTTGTGCATGACATATCATCTTATTATTGTAGCTATTTTAGCCAAGTATTTTCAAAATCCCTTGAACTATGAAGAAGTAATAGATCGGACACAAAATATACTTTATAACAGACTATGCTAATCTTTGACCTCTAAGTGTGACCTTGGAGGTAGGGACCCAAGTTTTGCGCCTGACATATCGTCTTATTATTGTGATTATTTGTGCAATGTATTTTTAAAATCCCTTGATTTATGAAAAAGTTATGGGCTGGACACAAAATATCCCCTTCACAAACTATGTAAATATTTGACCTCTAAGTGTGACCTTGACCTTTGAGGTAAGGACACGATGTTATGCATGACATATCATCTTATCATTGTGACTATTTGTGCCAAGTATTTTCAAAATTCCTTAATCTATGAAGAAGTTATGGATGGGACACAAAATATACCATATAACAGACTGTATTAACCTTTGACCTCTAAGTGTGACTTGACCTTTGATGGTAGGGTGCAGGTGTTCTACTATAAAATATTGTCTTATTATGTGACTATTTGTCCAAGTTATTTCAAAATCCAATGAACTATGAATAAGTTTCTAGATCGCGATGTAAAATATTATCCTATAACAGACTATGTTAATTTTGACCTCTAAGTGTGACCTTCCCTTGACCTTGGAGGTAGGGATGCAGGTGTTGCGCATGACACATTTCCTCTTATTATAGTGACTATTTGTGCCAAGTATTTCAAAATCCTTTGATCTATGAAAAAGTTATGGACCGACATAAAATATACCCTTTAACAGACTATGTTAATCTGTGACCTCCAAGTGTGGACCTTGACCTTGAGGTAGGTGACCAGTTTTTGCGCATGACACATCGTCTTATTATTGTGGAAAAATTGTGCAAGTATTACAAACCAAGATTGCATTTGAGAAAAATGCCTATGCCACCCGCATTAATACAATATACTAAATATAGTGTAGGAACAGATTTTATTTGTTTTCTATACAATTGAAGATTGTCCATAATGCATATCTAATTCTTATTATTCAGATTAGTGGTTAAATCTATTGTTAACTCAATAAAAGATCAGAGTAGGAATATATCAATGCACTTGATCTAGTGAATTTGGTGTGTGAAGGTCCTGATTTCACACAGCCTAAATTTCATGACTGCATCAAAGGACAACATGTAATACACTTTGTCAAAAATCTAGGTCAAGCTGATATCAAAGTTCACTTTTAATTTTGACACTAGAGGCAAAATTTGAACATCTTTGCGTAGAGTACCTATAGATGATATCATTTAACAAATATTAAAGCTCTAAGCCTTGTACCTTCAGACAATAAGATTTTTTTACTTTTTACTATATGTATATATTGAAAATCAATGACCCCGGGGCAGGGGCAATTTTGACCCCAGGGCTATTATTTGAATAATCTTGCTAGAGGTTCACTTCACAATGTTTCATGCAAAATATCTAACCTCTAGCATTTGTCAATTGCTAGAAGAAATTTTTTTAAAGTTTTTACTATAAGTTTTTACTATGTAAATATGAGAAAAATCAGTAACCCCCGGGGCGGGCCAATTTTGACCCGAGGGCTTTAATTTGAACAATCTGGGTAGAGGTCTATCAGACAATGCCTTATGCAAAATATCTAAGCTCTAGGCCTTTTGGGTCTTACAAGAAGGTATTTTAAGTTTTTACTATATGTACATATAGTGAAATCAATGACCCCGGGGCGGGGCCGATTTTGACCCCAGGGCTATAATTTGAACAATCTTGGTAGAGGTCTACCAGACAATGCCTTATGCAAAATATCTAAGCTCTAGGCCTTTTGGGTCTTTACAAGAAGATTTTTTAAATTTATTCTTATAATTCCTTTTGGTTGCCATGGCAACCAGATTTCTGCATGGAATTAAATTCTTTGAACAACTTTGGAAGCCCTTCACCCAAGGATCAATCCTGCCAAGTTTGGTTGAAATTGGAATAGTGGTTATTCACAAGAAGATTTTTTAAGTTCACTATATAATCTATATAACACACAAACAAACAAACACACACACACACAGGTGAATCGCTATATTATGACACCGCATCGCAGATGCTGCGGTGGCATAAAAATCCCTTCATAGATAAGAAAGTTATGGACCTGACAGTGTCGAAATATACCCTCAAATAGACAATGTTGACCTTGAATGACCAAGAACGACCTTGACCCTGGACCCTTGACCCTGGACCTTGGTCTGGTTGCTGCGCAATTGACACATTGTCTTATTATAACAAACATTTGTGCCAAGTTATTACACGTTCCAACATTTTGGGCTTAGGGGCTATTTTCTTTGTTATTTTCTTTGTTTTCTTAAGGGCTACTAGCCCATAAACACTTTGATCACGAATGAACCTATTATTCTCTTTTGTTCTCTTAACTGTTATATAGCCCCTAAACCCAAAATGTTTGCTCCGACAGACGGACGGAAGGACGGACGGACAGACGGAGCCTATTTCTATATCCCCCTTTTTTCTTCAAAAAGGCGGGGGACAATAAGGGTCTTCTACCCAATATGGACAATCATCCTATGAAGTTTGAATATTGTTGGCCAAATAGAAATTAAGTTATGTTCTAGAAACCAAATTGCTAATGGACGGACGGACAGATGGACAGACGCCAGGGGGTATGACATAATATGCCTGAAATTCTTTCCGGCATATAAAAAGTTATGGTCAAGGTTTAAGTTTGCGGACAGCAATGTCAATGCCGTCATGACTGTAACGTCAATACCTCCCTCTATTTCTTATTTTTCAAAAAAAAAAGTCACACTAAAAAGCCCTGATATTAAACCACTTTTACTCATATGTGAATGCACTTACCTTTCCTTGAACTCCTTTCTCTGCTTTTGTTTTCTTTTTCGCTTTTGTGCTTTGTTGAAACTGAAATATTTTGTTTAGTAAGTTATTCAATTCTTTTTAATTCTACCTAATCTATTTCATTCTACTTGTGCCAATCCATTGTGGAATTCCAAAAATGGCAAAAATGATTGAGTCCCCTATTTTATGTTTTAGAATTAAAAAGATATTTGTTCCACGCACATTAACACTTTTTACGATACCCCCATCTTTAATTCAGTCATACAACAAGAACTTCCACATTCCCATTTTTATACGCCAAAACAAGTTTCTGCCTAGAATATTATGCACCTTGTTGTTACAAGATTTACACGCCTTTTAACGCCTTTTTCACCCCCCCCCCTTCTGTTGTCTCAAATGGTGAAAAAATGCATTATTTAGGCCCCCAACACGTGTTTTTGTTTGAGAAATGTTGTTTCAAAAAGTGCCCCCTTCTGTTTGTGGGGGGTTGATTGGGGGCGGTAGTCCCCCTCATCGCCAAACAAATTTTGGACTTGTGAGAGGCTAAAAATGACCCCAGATCCATACATGTAACCAACACTGAAAAGCCTTTGACTCTATCTCAATCCATTGAGAAGTTGCAGCACTTTGAAATAAATTTTGATGGAAAAAAATCAACGCAAAATAGTGATTTTTGGCAATTTTGAGATGTCCCCTCGTTGCCATGGTAACAGGAAATTTAAGACTGAGAATGTTGTTACAAAGTCAATAGTCCAGTCAACATTTGTGCCAAGTTTGATAAGTATTGAAGCAGTTTTCACAGTTTTATAGCAGTTGGAACTTGTAACGGGAGACTTTTCAATGAAAACAGCCATTTTTCACAAAATGCTCATGCAGTAATGGGTTAACTGGTTTTGTGTCCGATCTTTATCTTTTGAATCGGATGAAGTAAATTTAAACTACATGTACTTGGCAGAAATGTTAACCATCATGAGACGATGTACAGAGCGCAGGTTTGACCTTTCTCAGGTCAAGGTCACAGTCAATTTTGTATCAATTTCAAAATTTTGTGTCTGCTGTATATCTTTTGAACAGATAAAAGAAATTAAAACTTTTTGGCAGCACTGACATGACTGTAACAATACCTCTACATTTTTATTTTTCAAAAAAAGTCGAGCTTAAAATGGTTTGTGTTAACATTTAAAAGTCTAAGGCCCTTGAACTTAGAATGAACAAGGGCAACATTGTCGCAAAATATGCCCGTTAAAAAGCCTTTGATAGACATGTGGGCATTATAGATATGCATAGGAATTAGCTTTTAGTATGACCTTGACCTTTGAACTTGATCATGTATAAAGCAATACAATACTTATAATGGTGATGAACATATGATATGCTCCTAAAAAATCCAGATATTTCATCATCTTTAGTGACTTTACTTTGCATAAATTGACCTAAAATACAAGTGCCATGGCAGTAGCCATGATAATGACCATTTGTGTTACAATCCCTCAATAAATGATGACTAAATTATGGTCCCTATTCACATCTTCATATTTTTATCTGAAATTTGACCCCTATGTCTGACCTTGGCCTTAGCACAAGGGACCTGAATTTTTTGCCTGACCTTACAACGGTGAACATTTGTACCAAGTGGAATTATCCCTCTATGCATGTAGAAGTTTTGCACCAGACAAGCGTTCTTCAATGACTTCTATGTGTGACCTTGACCTTTGGCCTAGAGATCTAGTTCAAGTGCATGACACTGCTTCTTATACTGGTGAACTAGTGTGATGACAATTGACATAAATTTGTGACCACTAGTGTTAATGAACTAAAATGTGGACAGACAACGGACATTGAAAGATCCTAAGAGCTCATCCTGTGGCAGCTCAGGTGAGCGAAAAAGACATGCATAATCTCCAGACTGTGATCTTCCCATATTTTACATTTCATAAAACATTTTCAGTACTTTCTGCTACATCAAGGGACCAAATTTTATGGACGAACAGGAAAGCAGATGGACAGACAGATGTACTTACAAAATGGTACTGGTATGACTTTTCTTTTGATAATTTTAGTCACACAAGTCCTAAAAAAAGACATAAACGTAAAAACAAAATGAATAGGATCAAAGAAAATGTACAGTTACATATTGTTCTCCTAGTCACACAAGTACTTCTGTGTTTTGTACAAGTACCGGTACCTCTGTGTTGTACAAGTACCAGTACCTCTGTGTTTGTACAGACACATGGAGGGTTTACTTTAAGTCCCCTCCAGTTAAACAGGTAAGGACCTTATAAATAATAATAGTCAAAAATATGGGTGTTGTTTTTTATCTAAAATACAACATTTTGACTTTATTTAAGTGTTCATCAGGTATATAATTATAATCATATCAATCATAAAGTGTTTTTTTTTTCAAATATAACAAGTTTGGTGATAATACATCAAGCAATATATTAACAAGAATTCAGACCTACAGGTCAAATATTTTTTTAATTATGCATGAACAAGTTCAGAATTGCAAATTTATACTAAGTCAAGCGCAATAACTCTAACAAAACGGAAAAAATCCACATGCAAAACCCAAGGTGCATAGCTTCACAGTGATGTTGATCATTATTCCTGTAAAGTTGGTTGATTCTAACTCAAGCACTCGAGGAACGAATAACACAACATAATGGAACAGTTTTCACTAAGTCAGGGGCAATAAATCTGACAAAAACAGAATAAATCCACAAGTAAAACCCCAGGTGCACAACTTTACATACTGAGCAACATTCATGTAAAGTTTCATGACACTAGATCAAATACTTTTTTAGTTACGTGTGACACAAGTTGAAAATCGTAAATCTTTACAAAGTAAAGGGCAATAACTAAAAAAAAAAATACTAAACATAATTATTCACATGAAAATAACCAGGTGCACAACTACACATGCTGATCAACATTCCTGTAAAGTTTCATTACTCTAGGTCAAATACTTTTTGAGCTACATGTGAAACAAGTTGAAAATTGCAAATACAGTAAACTCAGCTTATAACGAACTCATCGGGACATTCAAAATCTGTTCCTTATATCCAGAGTTCCTTGTAAGCATATAGCGAATTAGTTCCTTGTATCAGGAATTTTTATAGCAAACAGATTTACATATAAACAAACTGAATGTTTATCATCGTCCGCCATTTTGAAGAGCATTTGGTTAAGAAAAAAATAGTCATTTATTTCCATTTTAGACACATTATATCCGAGAGCGTACTTTTTGAAATTTTGAAAATCCTTTTGCTATTTCAGTTTTAGTTTTACTCCTTCTCTCATAAAATATCATATTTTGTTTCTAAACTCAGTGCTTTTTGTTTTCTTTCCATGAATAAGAATCAACAAGATTTTTGACTTTTTCCATCCTTTTATATTGAATATCTTCTATTATATTTTAAAGGGTGACTTTTTTACTAATGAATGATATATATTTCTTTTCTTTTCAATCAATCGTACTTTGTAGTTTTCAAAGGAGTATGCTTGCTAGCATGCGTGATTATCTTGAAAACCGATTATAAATGATCATAATTATTTTACTCGAGCAAAACTATTAAAGAAAAGAAATAATAGAATAAAAGAAATAACCATTTTATCATGGTGACAATAACTCATTCTAAAAAAATATCCTAAATAGAAAACAAGTACGTACTGCTATACAAATTCATTTTAATAGATGTATTGAAGTACATACAATAATAAACAGTACATTCGCCGAGTTTTAATCCATGTCAATGAAAAGGAAAGTTGAAAATGCAGTATCTATTTACGGTAAGCCGATATTTTGGAGTTCGTTATAAAAGTGTAATTTTCTGTACATTTAACTAAATTGGGACTAAGAAATGAGTTCGCTATAAGCGATAATTATTAAATAAAGAAGGGCATTATTCAGGCCAAAATAAATTGTTCCTTATAATCGGAAGTTCGCCATATCCATGTTCGCTATTAGTGAAGTTTACTGTATTTACTAAGTCAAGGGCAATAACTCTAACAAAACAAAATAACTCCACAAGCGAAACCCCAGGTGCACAGCTACACATGCTGAGCAACATTCCTGTAAAGTCAAATACTTTTTGAGATATGTGCGATTGCAAATTTTTACTAAGTCAAGAGCAATAACTCTTAAAATACCAAATATATCCACACAAAATTACCGAGGTGCACAACTACACATGCTGCTCAACATTCCTGAAAAGTTTCATGACACTAGGTCAAATACTTTGTTGTAGATTTGGCGCGACGTCACGTAACGTCGCTTTTGCGCGAATTGTTTACTTATGTTTTCAACGCAACGTCATTTCCTATGTATGTAAACATTCAGTTTGAATAAAGGAAACGAACCGTACACAACGCCTAGTTTTATTCACGATCATGTCCTCACATTTTATGGTGCCGTGAACCGAAACCACCATGAATCTTCATAAACTACAAGCAGTGAGAGAGGGCCACAGAGCTACTATAGCAGAACATTTGCAGGAAATCGAAGATGCAATTAGAGAAAATAATATAGAAGATGTTCAACTTCTCATAAAAACAATCGAAAACATTATGCTTTCTTTGGCGAGTACTGATGCAGACATTTTAAACAAGATTGATACAGAAAATACAGCAGTAGAGGTGAAGGAAACCGCTATGTACAACATTCGTGTAAAACGTCAACTACAGAAATATAAGAAATTCCAGGTTTTATCAGATTCCGTAAGAGACGTAGACAGAGACAATATCAACCACTCGTCACGAACAGAACCATCATCCAGCAATCACGGCGAGCAGATGGACTACATTAGAGACAGAACCTGCATACCGCTGTCTAATTCATTTCATCACAAGTTGCCAACAATTTCCATGCCGACATTTAGTGGTGATCTCTTGACGTATCAGACATTTTGGGACTCATTTGAATCATCAGTGCACAACAATTACAGTTTAACAGACGTGCAGAAATTCAGTTACCTGAAGTCATTGCTAGAGGGAGATGCTGCAAGAACTATTGATGGGTTCGCGTTAACGAATGCAAACTACAGTCAGGCATTGTGTTTATTAAA